CAGTTACTCCTGAACCTGTGTGTGTGTTTTTACCATTCACAATATCTTTCAGAAAAGTCTTTAGTAGCTTAATTAGGTATAGTATAAAGGAGCATCTTCTCTCTGCTTGCCCTGTCCTAGTTTCACCTGGTGACCCCGACTTGTGGATTGGAAGAGACAGTGTACAAAGTGAACTGTCATTCCCTATTCACCCTTTCCATGCCACTCTTAATTACCACCCCCTCATGCTTTCCTAGGTTGAGAGACCCCAGTCCATTTAGCCATTCCTTGTATGGAAGTAATTTGGTACTTCTGAACATTTTTATTGTCCATTTTTATGGCTTCTTGAGATCTCTACCATATCAGAGATAAGCCCAGAACTATGCTTAGCTCAAGATGTAGCACTTCTTGAATTAAACAGCATCAAAAAATGCTTTATGTGTTAAACATTAGTAACAAGTGTAATGTATTTTAAAAAAAGAAAGAATATTAGTATTTTTATAGACGTTCAAATGAAATTTAGTTCAGGTTTTTTTATGCTAAATGATGAAATGTGATAGAGCAAATCACAGCTGACCTGGGAATAGTGCTAATTTGCCATTTAAAGTATTATAGTTAAATAATTTGTTATTTTGGTTAAATTTTTTAATTTATCATCTATTAGGAAAGCATACTGGTTCTTGCTTCTTTTCTTCCTGTGGCTAGTCTGTCAAGACCAGTGAAATCCCATACATTTCAAATACTGTTTTCCAATATGTTCTAATCAGCCATTTTCATTTGGGATCTGGAATTAAATAGGGGTTTAGTTCCAATGAGAAATTATTTGGCCTGGGACTGAGCCCATTTTGTGTGTTTATGAAATTAAAGCCCAGTGAGGGATTACCTGATCCACCACTGGTATTTCCAGGTCCAGCTGAAATTCACCTGTTGTTTGTGTACCAGTATAACCCAGAGCTTTATCTTTAATAAGTTCTTAGTTTAGTCTAGCTGCAGAATGTTTACTTGCTTATATAATAAAAATTGAATATTTTTTCTCTGTCATGTTCCACCAACTTTGTTAGCCCTGCTCTCCACAGTCCTCTCCCTCTCAGTAACCACACTGCCTTTGTTTCCTCTGTTGCCAAAGCTGTTTTCAGCCCTTTCCTGAACAGGAACTGGATCATTTTCTATATCCATTAGCTGTCTTTGGAGGGAGGGAGAGATCTATTTCATGGTGCAGGATTTCCAGTTATTTTGATCTAACAAGTGCTATAAAATCAGAAATTTCCAGAACAGGATACAAACTATAAACAGTATCCTCTTAAAAAAAAAAATCAAGATTTAATAAATTATTATTTGTTTGTAAATAGAAAGAAAGCAGTGGGTTATTATTTTTTTTTCAAGTTTTCCTTCTTGTGATGATTTCAGGAGGAATACAGGATTTTCTTTGCTTTATCAGATTGTGACACTGCACCCACCATATAAGACAATTTTAGCATTATTTTTAATATTTCTTAAAGTTCACATATGCCAGAATTTACACCCTGGAATGATTAAATCTCTGCCCAGCTGCTTGTTTAGAATTGAACTTGAAAATTACTTTGGGTTGGATTTTGTTTGTCTCTGTTGGATGTATCTTTTCCAATAAATAGCAGTTTCAGCTGTGTGGAATCAGGCCCATATTAATGGGAAGCAGATGAGAGCCACAAGGTGTTAGTGCTCCACACTTCTTTGGCTACTGCCTGAGGCACTTCTTCCTTTTTTCTTCCTGGTCAGTGTCTGGGAGGGAAGCTGTGAAATGGACCTTTCCAGTTACTCTTGCTGTTCCTGGCCATTTCATTTATTTAAATTTAAATATCTCCATATTAGAGATGCCTTTTCTATCCACTGGAAAAGGAAAGTCTCCATTCTGCATTAGATCAGAGAAATTCAGAAGGAAACAAGAATATTTTTTATGAGGGATAAGAGTTTGTTTTTCAGCAGATGGTATTTCCTTTTAAGAAAGCAGCAGCATATTTTTCTGCTACAGATTTTCTTCAGGATTCAGGAAAACAGCACTCTGGCAAGTATCCTTCAATGAACCCATCCGTCTCTGCAAAATCTGGACTTCTATAAGAAGCTACTGTGGTTTTTAACTTGTGAGCTGTGCAGAAAGGAATTGAGCATTTTTATTTCCCTAAGAAGACTTCCCAGTTTACCCTTGTATCTGCTGGTGGCATAAGGGGCAGGAACAGTGTCTTCCTGGCAGGCTCCTCTTGAAACACTGTCTGTGCTCAGAGATGTGCTCATGCTCTGCTTTCCTCTGTAATCCCATTATATTTCTCCATGCCAGAGTGCTGTGACATTTAAGTCTGAGCAAGTGTCACACGAGAACTTAGCACATCATGTCATTTGTGATTTCTGTCTTCATCAGCTAGACAGATAACTTCGTGCCTTTTATGTAATTAGCACTGTGACCATTATCAAGAACAAGAGTAATGAAAGTTAAATAACCTTTTTTATGGCAGGTGTTTGTTACTAAAAAATTAATGATGAAATTAATTAAAGAATATGATAGAATCTGTAATCACAGGTCAGTAAAGTTCAGATCTAACAACATTTAGATACAGAGAAGTAAGCTAGCTTTGAAATCTCGTGTTTCAGGTGCTGATTGCTCCTGGGCACAAGAGCAGCCTCCAAAAGATATGTCTCAACAGTAATAAACAGAAACTGTGTTTTGGAAACCATGGCCTAGACCTGTGGCTTTTTCCTATCAGCTTGGAGAGTTCAGGGCTGAATTTGAATTGCTTGCCTGAACTGAAGTCTAAGTCACAAGGCTATCACTTCACTGCAGTTCTGTCTCCAATTACTCCACCTGTATTAGGCAAACTGAAGGAAAATTGTGCTTTTTTGCAGTATGTGCATAACCTTATGTTGATGCTAAGCCAGAAATAGCCAAGCCCCAAGAATGCTCTCTCACCTTCATTTCCTGAGGCTAATGCCTTATTCTGGTTGCTCAAGCAGATGCTGGTAGTTGCTAAGCTTTTTCTTCTTTTCACTGGGAGCTGCTCCTCAATTTCCTGTAACAATTTTCCTGTGTTGGTTATGCTGACTAGAGGAACTATCTCCAAAGTATTGCTGCTACTGAAATTTCTGCTGCTATCTTTCTTTCTGTAGTGATACAGGACTTTCATGCCTCTGTTGGTTCCACAGTTAATTAATCTAAGTCTTTCTAATACTTAATACAGTAAGCATAGAAAAGCAATAAATGGGGCAGATAAAGAATGAAATGGTTTAATCTCATTAATTAATAAAATGCAGAACATTCAGGTAAAAATATCACTGCTCTTCTAATCACTGGGAGTTGGATGAGCCACATGGAGCCAAGAAAATATATCTAAGCTGTAAATGAAGGTGTAGTTCAGTTAGAGTGGGTTTTGTTTTTTTCTTTCCTGGTTTTAATAGCAGCTTCACATCATAATTAGGAGGATGAAATTCCTGCCAGCCAAGTCTGTAGTTTGGACAGATTAAAGGGAAGAGGTATGAGAAATGATAATTGCTTTGTGCTCATCAGACTTCTCTTGAAAATCTGACAGGATAATTACAAAATACCTGCATTGCAGAATGTCTGGGCAAAATTTTAAAGAGCTATTTAAAGTTGTTCATTTACAGTCTATCTGAAAAGTTTTTTACTCTTTTTGAAGTAGTTCATTACCATTCAGATGTGTGGTGCGTGTTTAAATATAGACCTTATTCTCATGTGCCTGCCTGGCTGCATTCCACTGCCCACCCCCAAAGAAAATTGCCCATAATTTTTTGCATTACCCCACATACTGCACCCACATACTCACCCTTAACTTTCAGCAGAACATTATTTCACCTAATGGAAACTAACCTTGTTGCTTCCAACAGTCTGAATCATAGTCGTGGATAAAATAATTGAGAGAGAATTGTTCCAGTGGACTACACAAAAAACTTCCTTTTGACTGACAGCAAAAAGTTTTTCTGCTTTCAACATGCTTTCATGTTTCATCACATGGCTTTTCTTCACTTGTTTTTGAAACTTGAAAATGAAGTTCACTAAATTGCCAATTTTCAAAGAATATTCTAGGCACAGGTCCCAAATCCCTACGATTTGGTGAGAGTTAAAAGACCCTGAAAGCCCAACGTTCTACTGAAGTTCACCATAGAGCTCAGTTGGATCACAGGGCCACAGATACCTGCAGAAAGACAGCAGAATTGTTCTGGGCACCCCTGAGGTAGGGGTAGAGTCATCCAGTGTCATTCTTATGTACAGCTGAACGGGGATGACCAGTCTCATAGCTACAGGAGCTGGATTTTCACGTGTGAACGTCGTGTAAGCAATATCTCATGACCTGCTGCCTTGTCAGATCTCACTGAGCTGCTGACCATCACATTCAGAGGGCTCAGTGCTTTCCAGAACTGCCAGCAATTGCACACCAACTACGTAGTTCATGCATCCACATGGTAAAACCCTGCCTATTTTATGCTCACCTTTCAGGAAGAGGTAATTGCAATTTGCAGTTGATTTTTAAAATTCTCTTCCTTAGTCTTGGATGCCTTCAGACATGGCCAGTGCAGCCAGGCCAGCTGGTTCTGGCATGCAGGGCAGGCTTCGAGTAACCTCTCCCAGGGATGCCAGGGCTGTTGTCACACCACATGTACACACCTCTTATGTGACAGGGACACCTGGATTTTGGGTATGTCAGGAAATGGGGTATGCAGACCCCAGAAAGGATGAAGGCATGAAATGCCTTGCTATGGGTATCTGCAATCAGCTGTGTATTTGCATAAATTCCTGAAGTCATGCTTTAAGTCCATAGCTATAACATTAATTATTGTAATGTTTAAAGCTTACAGTTTGTATTTTTATATAAAGTTAAAAGAATAAGTTAAGTGCTGGATGTACAATTCATTCTATATCATGTTCCTTGGTAGATTGAATTACATGTTTCACAAGAAATGCACACTTCAGGTTTTACAACAGAGCATTTTTTAATACAATTCTGATTCCTGTTTCTTGCTTCTTTTTCTTTGAACAGTTTATGAAGAACCAGAAGACCCCAGTAACAGATCATTTTTTTCAGAAATTATCTCTTCAGTGTCAGATGTCAAATTCAGTCACAGTGGTAGATACATGCTTACAAGAGATTACCTCACTGTCAAGGTTTGGGATCTGAACATGGAAACAAAGCCTGTAGAAACGTACCAGGTAGGAATCTCCTACATCTTAAAATGCAACTCTATAAAAGGATCTCAGTGTTCAAAAACTGGATGTTTCTGTAAACTTCTCATAACCTTTTCTGAGAAGCAGCAAGCTAAGAGAATTAATCAAGGTGGTTGAAACCCTCACAGTGGCATCCTTATAGCAGGAAAAGGGCAATTGCAGCATTAGTAAGGAAGTGTAAAGCCTGGGGAGTCAACGTAGCACTCCCTGTGGGTTGGGCTCTTGAAAGAAATTATTATTCTAACGAGAGAAATCATCTCTTCACTTTGGCATCTGCTTTCAAATTATGTATTTCATTACTAACATTTAAAAGGAACCGAGGAAGAGATTTTGTGTGTTGCTTAGCACTCTGCTCCTGGTGGGACTGCTGAAAGTTTACACCTTTGTCATTTCAGAACTACTTTTTACAACTTGATCTGTGTGTTTCTCCCTTGTGCCTAGCTCTAGAATTGCTCCCTGTTAAACCCTGGCATCACCACTGACACAGCAGCTCACAAATGCCAGACAGACACATCTGGTTGCCTGAATTCATTGAGATATTATCCAGACAAAATGCCAGTGGCTCCAGCCAGCACTAAGTTTGTACTCTGGCATCTGTTATGTTTGGCAATAGAGGGCTGAGCTTACATTTTTTTGACTCTGGCTTGAAGACAGAAAATATGTCTCTGACACAGAAACTGCTTGTTATGAAAATGCACTAAGAAAAAAACCTGTTAAGTTACCAAAAAAAGTGTATGCAAAGTAGGAAAAATGCCATTCATCCGGCTCGTGCTGCTTACTGAGAGACAATCCTGTGACGGTGCTGAATACGTCCCTTGTTTTCTGTGTCTAAATAATAGCAGGTGGGATACAGTAGCTCACAGTGATTATAATTAAGATTGGTTTTAAAAACCACGATGAGAATTTGGTAGCATTTCTTGTCAAAACAAACAAAATTTCCCTGTATTTTTTAGCTAGCATTTAGTAGACAGAGTGGGCCCCAGCGTTTTTCAATGCATTCCGTTTCCGTGGATAATGTTCACTGCTCAGTGTGTTAATATTGGAAAGTCTGAGCCTGTTTACCTCTAAGTCTACAGATTTGGGTTTTCTCTTAAAATGGCAGTGCTTTAAATGCTGAATGTGTTAGAAATGTTGATATGTTGTGACAGTGGAGTGGGAGGGTAAGGGCGAGACTATGTTATATATAATAGAATAGAATCTCGGGTTTGGGGAACTTAGGTAATATATTATTTTATACCTATGCTAATTTAGTAGGCAGCCTTGTTCCTGGGGAGGAATATCTGGTCAAGCCAACCTGTTTGTCTTGATTTTGACACCTGCTTTTATTTTCTCATGTAGGCAGCTGTGAAACAAGCTGGTCACTTTTAAATCAGTCTGGTGCCCAACAGGAGGGCCAATTAAAAAGTTATATTTGTTAATGCTGATGGCGAAAAATGAGTACTGATAATTGCAGTCAGAAGTTTCTAGAAAAAAAACAAGAAGACTCACAACAGCAAAACCCCTTATATAATATTAAAAAATATATAGCAAAATATAACAGTCTTCTTAAATCTTTGGATTGCCTTTCACTTTCAGATATTTATCCTTGTAAATATACAGATGTGTTGCTGGGCATTGCAGTGGACTAAAGGAGAATCTGGAACTAGGGGCCTTGGGAAGAAAATAGCACAGGATTCCATTGGGTTCGTGTGATTCAAATGCTCTGAGAACCTTTCACGTTTTTAAGCTGCAGAGAGTAGAGAATTATTTCCTAGGAAAAAGTAGTTTAAATTACTCTCTTAAATAATTTGTCTTAGAGATATCTCTCTCTTTCACAAACCTAAATCTCATATCTAAGCTTAGCAATTTCTCAAAAGTTTTTTTTGGGGTAGATCTCTGTAACGCAACAAATAAACCTAACGTTTTCAGTTATGTATCCACATAATTATGACGACAATACATTATTAAAAGATCAAAAGCTGTTCATTAGAAGATTGAATTTCTCATTTCATCCACTGCATGGTAGGCACCTAGATATTGCCTGGCTGCAATAGTGAAGGTCTCAGCATTAGATTTCACACAGAGTTGTAATAAAGAGCAGAGTCCATAACTGTACTGCTTCATTATCAGCTTACGGTTTTAATATTAAAAACCCGACATGCAAAAATGAATTCCTCATACAGGTTCTTTTTCATATCAATGCTGTGGCTCAAACAATGCTATTGCACAGAGCAGCTGCTGCAGCCCTGCTGAACACATCGTTGTCTGCTGACAGTGTTTCAACATGATTTCTCCTGTTTGTTTCACACAAAAGAGAAAGGGCAGAGTATGGTCAGCGGACAGCACTAAAAGAGCAGTGCAGTGGAATGGCCAGAGCTTGAATGTTGCAAGGCAGCCCTGCCTAACAGGTTACTCTTCTGATGCTGCCACGTGAATTAGCCCAGCAGAAGCCTTAGGAGCAGCAAGGTGAGCACATTCACAGCTGGGAATAGCTTGGTCCATTTTAGGCAGTGTCTGTAGCATAGGGATTTGGACCAGTGTGTCACCTACCACTGAAATTCCTGGCTGTGTGTATTCAGTCCAAATAAAACATAGCTGTGTTGCTGTGTTAGTCCAAAGCACAGAATTGCTAGATAATTCCATCAGGGTCAGACATTGCAGTGAAGAAAAGGTCCTTAGTAATTAGTGAGGAATGAGTTTGGTTTGCTTTCAAGTGCTATTGATATGTGGTAAGAACAAGGTGTAACAGACAAGGCAAATCTGATCTTACCCTCAGTTCATAGAAGCAGATGAACATGCAAACAATGAAAATTGAGTGTTTCTTACAATTAGTTTTTCACAGTCTCTCTGTGGGTCTGAATGTGCTCAAATGTGGAACTCAAAAGGTCCACATAAAGAGCAAGGTGGTTGTCCAAGGCAGTAGGGTGAGTCTGACAGTCTTGACAAGGTAAGACATCTGAGAGAGGAATTGTAAAATCCTTTTTGACAAAGCTGATAGAAAGGCACAGCTCCAAGCTGTGGACTTGGACACACTTTGCAAAGGGTGTGTCTATGACAGTGGTCATGACAGATGGCTGCTGGAAATGGTAACAAGGGAAAGACCTAGAAATGACAGTCAGGGAGGCAAATGTGATCGACTTCCTTCTGCCTTACCCAACCTTTCTGTTTCTTCCAAGTATGGGGAGCTCACAAACATGACAAAGGAAAGAATTCCAGTTCTGTAACAAATTACACTGCTAACATAAAAAGGTTTTAAGTAAAGAGAAAGGGAAAGGATTTAATTACAGAGGGTGTAGGAGACTGCATCAGTAGTAGGTGTTCTGACCTATTGCTCACTGTGATGGTAAATGCATTTAATTGTGGAATGTTCTATCTGCCTTTTGCCAATTAATTGCTGTATAAGACATTATCTGTTAATGAACAGTTCAGTGTTCATTTATTAATGAAAATTGATCCATAACTAAAATTTATAATCCTTAATAATCTTACATGCCAAATATTCTTTGGATACTCTACAATTTGACTTTCAAAAATGGATAAGTTTAAAGAAAACCTAAGTGAAAGTTTATTGTCCCTCATCTGGTCTTGATAGAAGTTATTTTACTAGAAGAAGTGTTTGTGCCCTCAGGCCAGAGGATGATGCTGGGCATCCATGAGCAGGAACACTTTCACTGGACTTGCAAGAACCTGTAACCTCAGGATGGCAGAGCTAAATTACCCCTGGGCAATTGGATTGGTGTGTTTCTCCAGGAGGTCACGTCTTTGTTTTACAGTTTCTACAACAGTTAGAAGAAAATATCCGGAGTGGAAGTGCATTAGTAAATTTATCTAGTCAGGGATTTTGTACCTTATTATTTCCTTATGGAATAAACTAAATAATCCAGAAGAAAAACTAATCAAATTAAGCAAAAGACTGAAAAAGTTTGCATGAGATCTCTTTATGATAATTCAGCAGAGGTGTGTGGCCTAGAGGAGAGAGATCTGCTGGGTACTGTCACTTTTATAGTTAGTAAGTGAGAATGTTTGCATGAGATCTCTTTATGATAATTCAGCAGAGGTGTGTGGCCTAGAGGAGAGAGATCTTCTGCTGGGTACTGTCTCTTTTATAGTTAGTAAGTGAGAACTTGCAATGTTTTTAAATCTCAGCCAAATAGGAGAAATCCTTGGGCTAAATTAGCAGCCTGTGCAAGATAATTCAGCAGAGGTGTGTGGCCTAGAGGAGAGAGATCTTCTGCTGGGTACTGTCTCTTTTATAGTTAGTAAGTGAGAACTTGCAATGTTTTTAAATCTCAGCCAAATAGGAGAAATCCTTGGGCTAAATTAGTGTTCTTATTTGCAGCCTGTGCAAATACCTTGTGCTGTATTTGACTTCTAAAATACCTTACAAAAATACATGTAATACCATAAAGGTTCTTTTAGTAGCGCCAAGTTCTTTCTGCCATAAGTGAGAGTCCACTTATCTTGGAATATGGCATTTTTGTTACTATTTAAATTAGATTTCTTGCACATTAATTAGCCCATCTAGGGTATCAGCTGGTGAAATGTCTCTGGGAATCAGGTTAGCACTGAGAAAATCACCCAAGCAGGAAACAAATATGTAGAAGAGGGATGGTATGCAGCCTGCTGAGGGAAGCGTCTTTTGTGCCTTCCTGCAACAGTAATTCTATAGCACCTGGTTAATTGGGCTGTGGAAAAGTACAGTTAGCTTCTTTGGAACTTAAACACAGTACCTTCTGCAGAGCTACCAACCTATGCAGCATATTTTGAAAGTGAACATGGGAGGTAACACAAAAAGTGAAGGGCTGGTTGTGGAGTTTTATATTTTCTTCGATTTCAAGAATAACAGTTATTTTCTTTAAAACAGGTCCATGATTACCTTAGAAGCAAGTTATGTTCCCTCTATGAAAACGACTGCATCTTTGACAAGTTTGAATGTGCATGGAATGGATCAGACAGGTAATCAATCCGTCCTTTGGTCCATCACTGTCCTCATTTAGCAAAAGACCTCCCATATGATGGGGAGCAAACCAAAAGTAGTTACAGGTGATTATTTTCCACGTCAATGTACAGAATCACATGCCAGTGTTTGGGAAGATAGAGGATTTGGATCTTTGTGCAGTTGTGTCTCTGCCTTAGAAATGATGTATGCCTTAATGACCTTGGCTCATGCCTTAGGGGGAAAAAACCTTCAAATTATGTCCATTTTCACCCAAATTATAAATAGGCGGCAAAAGCTAAAAGGAATGATGCCAACTCACAAAATTCCACCAACACACTAAGGAAACTTACATGATCCTGTCTTTGCACATGAGCTATCCCAGAAATTCAGTTTACTTGCTGGAAATGGAAGGACCATCACAGGCACCCACTGATTCTCTACAGACTGCTGCCCAATGACACTTCTGGTACCTCCCTCCATCAGAGCGGTCCCTTTCACTATGCACTAATGAAGAGGTTCATTTTGTCTTGGACATTGTATCTTTTTGAACATTTTAATGAGAAATACTAGAGCAAGTGAGAGAGTGTGAGCAAGGGTGGAGTGGGCTAAATGCCCTAATGCTGGCAAGTAGTGGCAGTGCTTTGTGGAGTAGGAATATGGTACAGAAATAGCTGAGCAGCCAAGAGGACTGGGTTAATAAAAATGGATAAAATCCAAGAGTATAATGCAAGGTGAGGATTTTAGTTTAAAAAAGAGCACAAAGCTTCATCTTAGCAGTTGGAAGTAACTCCCAGGGACATTCATATGCTAGGTGACTTTGGAAGGGATTAGCAGTCTGCAAAATGCATGTGAAAGAGAGCACAGGGGCCAATACTGAGTGACACACGGTGACTCCTGGTTCAGCAGAGTTAGGAGCCAAGAGGCAGAAGTTTGGCACTAAGCCTAGAACTGCTCCTTCAGCTCAGCCTCTCATTTTGGAAAACAGTCTGTCTCATTGTATTGAAGCAGGCCTACCCACCCTGGAGTGGGCAAGGACTGTGAAACAGGCAGTCTGAGACGTCTGTGAAAGACAAAAAAAAGCCCCTTGCTTGAATGGGCAAGACTAGGCTGTCCAGCAGAGAAAGGAGTAGTGGTGACATTATGTTGGGCTCTTGTTCAAAGACCTTTGAACTGCATTTACACATTTCCTGTCCTCATCTCCAAGGTGGATGAACTTATCGAGGAGATGGACAGCTGCTCTAAAGAAGAGGGGCCAGGGCTTTGGTTTTCATCAGCTTAGCAAAAGAGAAGCCAAGATTTTACTTGCTTGTAGTAAATATACCAAGGAGATATACATAGGGAGGAAGAGAATATAGCTAAGATAAATGTGAGTGATAATGGCACAACAGTAATCAGGTGTTGAGAGTCAACAGGTAGTTATAACCTGGAAATTAGAGGTCGTTCCTACCTGTCCAAACTGTGACAATCTGTGTTCCCATCCTGAATGGTGGAGATACAAGAAACCCAACTGCTCTGATGGTGGTGCTCAGGAAATTTGTGAAAGCAGTTATAGGTAATATTGTTTAAAATTACAAGTCTGAACTTGGAAGTGCAGAACAAAATCTCTTCTAGTCCTGTGTTCCACAAATGCAGATCAAGTATTATGCTGTACACTGGGTAAGGGGCACCCTCCCTTTGGACTACTTTCCTTTGCTCAGTTCCTCTACCTGCCCAATGGAAAGATTCTGTCTTTGCTAAAAAATGAAACTTTAACCTTGTGTCATTCATTATGCAAATGAAAATACATATATGTTCCATTATCTCTAATGCCTGCATGCTAGAGTTGTTTGTTTTTTGACAAGAATTAACTCAGCATCGAGTATCCCCTGTGATACCAACTGCTGGCTGTTTAAAATTACATAGATGGACCACACTGAGCAAAATAGTTCCCAGATTGCTGTCATTGCAGCTTGGGCACCAGCTGTTGTGGCTTTTTTATGGTCAAAGATTGGGAATGACTCACAGAAGGTTTAGTGGAAGATCCAGGTTTTGGGACTTTTCTCTGAAACTCCCAAACAAATGCTTGAATGGTTGTTTTAGCAGAGGGTTTTCTCAGTGTGGTTATGGTTTGGGTTTGGCCCTAGTAGAAACACAAAATTTAGTGCACTTATTGGAAAACAGTGGAAAGATTCTGTCTTTGCTAAAAAATGAAACTTTAACCTTGTATCATTCATTATGCAAATGAAAATACATATATGTTCCATTATCTCTAATGCCTGCATGCTAGAGTTGTTTGTTTTTTGACAAGAATTAACTCAGCATCGAGTATCCCCTGTGATACCAACTGCTGGCTGTTTAAAATTACATAGATGGACCACACTGAGCAAAATAGTTCCCAGATTGCTGTCATTGCAGCTTGGGCACCAGCTGTTGTGGCTTTTTTATGGTCAAAGATTGGGAATGACTCACAGAAGGTTTAGTGGAAGATCCAGGTTTTGGGACTTTTCTCTGAAACTCCCAAACAAATGCTTGAATGGTTGTTTTAGCAGAGGGTTTTCTCAGTGTGGTTATGGTTTGGGTTTGGCCCTAGTAGAAACACAAAATTTAGTGCACTTCTTGGAAAACAGTGCTGATTCCTGCCTAAGTCTGGCACAGAACAACAGTGCATTCAAATCATGTAGATAATGGGAAACTTTGAAAAAGATCCAGGACTTTTCAGGTATTTACAAACCATTTTGTTTATCCTTGATGCCAATTCCTAGTGCATTTTGCAGAATGGGCAGCCACTTACTCCCAGACCTAGAGTCTCTCTCCTCTGGCCAGATGAAGTGCTGCTGTCCTCATTAGTGTGGTAAGACCACTCTCTGGTTAGCTGCCTGGTAGTAATGGAATTCTTGTTCAATATCAGGGTTTAAAGTGAGTGTAATATTTTCATTCTTACTTGACAGATCAGAAAGATCAATGCAGGGAGTAATTATTAAGTGGGAACATTAGATTGTGAGGGCTTCATTTATTGTACTGCCCAGACACTGAGGCATTATTAGTCATGCACAATTACCAAACCTGTCACTAAACACAATGTGCTGCTCTTGATTGCAAGAAACTCTCGAGTAAAGGCGCTGGAAACATTTGACAAAAGTAAAAGGGCTCTCTTTAACTTAGTTATTTCTTTTTAGGACTCAAATGTATCAGAATTGATGCTCATATTTTGATTCACTCCTCTGAGCTCCTTGCTTTATGAATGTGACAAGTATTGCTGTACATTACCAGAATATTTTTTTATTGGAGGATCATAGTTTAAATAATACGTAGGTACTGGTATCTCTTAAAAAACAGTTCATTTGAACAGTAAGGTCACTTAATTTGAGTCTCTTGGTAGGCAGTTTTTAAAAAAGGATTACTACTAAAGGTAAAAATTCCATATTGACAATTGCACTCCAAAGAGATGCTGCAGTACTTAGATTGTTAATCCATCTACATAACAGTAATAACTGCATTTCTAAATGTATTGGTTTTATTTTTTGCAGACTTCAAAGCTATAACAACAATTTATAGTGACAGGATTGTTCCATTAAAAATGAAAGTGTGTTTATTATTTAGGTGAAAATACTTTTTATTAATTTTTGTCATTACTAAGAAGTTAATCTAGGCTGTGATAGAACCTGATGGTGAGGCTGTTCACAAAAATAATCAACATACGTGAGCTCTGATTAGAACGTGATTGATGCTCAGTTACTCCAATGAGCAGGAACTAATACAATCAGACAGAGCCCATCTCATTTGCTGAAGGGCACATTAATCACTGTGTACTTTGGCAGCAGTGGTCAGGGGAAGGAGCCAAGCAGGGGTCTTACACTAATTCATCCAGATGAGCATGTATGATCTGTAGTTGAGTATATTACACAAAAATCATGCCATCTTTATTGTGTATCCATCATTACATGAGTGTGTAGAATATGTGAGGTCTACTTATACAGCAATTTAATTTAGCTCTTCCATTCACATCCAAAGTCAAGTCTTTTAATAATGACCTGGAGGACACTGTTTTTTTCCTACTGTCAACAGCTTTCAGTTTTACCTGTAAAAATAAGCACTTTTATAGCTTTTTGTGAGGTAAAGAAGCCAGAAAAAAAAAACCCAAATAAAACCTAATTCTACATGATAGCAAGTGAATACCTTAGTTAACTTTTTTTTTTTTTTTTTTTTTTTTTTAAACATTTCAAATGAATGGGTGTATAGGACCCCTGCCAGGGAGACTTCCAACTACCATCATGATAAGTGATATGCTGCAAGCAGATGAGTGAAGTCACATACAACTGTTCAGTCAGTCCCTTCCTACTGAACTGTCATTCATCCCCCTGAATCTCCATCAGCCTTCACTCTAATCAGGAGGAATTGGCAGATCCCATTGGATGAGATGTTAAGAGTCTATTCCTCTCTGGCAGCACACTCCATGCTGGAGAGCTAGAAGACATCATTTTGCTCTCAAATCTTGGCATGTCAAATATTAGCTGGAAGTACTTGGGGATCCCTTGTTCTTATTCCCAGTCTTATGCCAGCCAGCTGTACCAGGGTACAACACAACCCTAATTCCAAGTCAAGTGTCTCAAGTTTTTCTAGCAGCCTCCTCCCTAGGTTTAAATAAATTCCTTCTTTGTGATGAGGAGTCAGTGACTTTACACAGCACAGCATACAGGAAAACTTCCCAGTATTTCAGGAGTTTCTCACTGCTTGCAACAATGCCTCCTCCTTTCCCTTTGCTATAATAAATCTCCCTTTTTATTCCTATGAAAAATGTTGTTTTAAGAGTTTTTCTGGAATCATCCCTGTCTTTCATTGGGTCAGCTTGTCATGAAACCAGATCTGGTGGACCTTACGCGTTAATCCTAGGAGGCTGCAGATGTTCTGTTCTGCACTGGTACAGGTGGCAGTGAAATACTGAAAATTTAGGGGCTCAAAATATAATTGGGAGACAGTTTCATGTTAAGAAATGGTTCCTTTTCATGATGGGTGCCTGAGGGATGTCTTTGCTGAGATT